TTCTCTACGACGAGGACTACCCCGACTCGGACGACCGGCTCGGCAACGTCACCATCGAGGTCGACGGCATCAGCGAAGACTGGGAAGGCGTGCCGCCGCCGGGCAGGGAGTACAAGGTCAGGAAACGCTCGGCACACAAGGGCGTCTACCTCGTCCGCGCCCTGTACAGCGGGCACGACCACTACACGCCCAGCTTGTGGGTGAGCATGCAGGTGCTCGGCGTGTCGCCGCCGCCCGCATGCGCAGGATCTACACAGTCGGGCCCTCCATGTCGATCAAGCACTTCAGTCCGACGATCGGGCTGTTGACGGGGGACGCGTGTCAATGTCAACGCAGACGACGATTATGAGTATGCAGACGTGGAGGAAGGGTGCCACCACGTCAAGCACGCACAGAGATATGAGTGAGTGCCCCTTACCTCCCCCCTTGCAAGAGGACAGACCCTACGAATCCACTACAAGAGGAGCGAGTGGCCTCACGAAATCCACTGCTGACGCCGGCACAGCTTCCAGTCAAGCGAGATGCAGCTCGCCGGCCCAGTGCCGCCCGAGCTGTACCACCGCTACGTCGAGTTCCGCCACATCATCGGCTCCATGTTCACGTCCAAGGGCCTCCGCGGCCGCATCCTCAGCCGCGCGCTGCACAAGCAGCACAGGCGCGTGTACCGCCACAAGGTCACGTCCGAGATCAAGACCCTCACGCCGTGCACCGTCGAGGCGTCGACCGAGCTCCTGCGCCTCGCCCACTACGGCGACGGCGGCCGCATCTTCACCTACGTCCTGACCCTCGACGGCCGCTTCCGCTTCACCGAGACGGGCAAGGAGTTCAGCATCGACCTGCTGAGCAAGCACACCATGCACAGCGACGTCGCGCGCTACGTCGCCTGCGCCGGCGAGTTCTTCATCCAGCGCCTCGAGCGGCCCCACACGCCGTCCTCCACATTCTCCTCCTCCTCCGGCGCCGGCGGCATCCCCGCCGCCGACGACGACCGCGGCAGGGCGCGGTTCGCGAACCTCGCCATCGCGGGCAACTTCCGCGAACACCTCGACGCGACGCCGTCCAACAGCCCGTCCTACTACCAGCTCATCATCGACAACGAGTCGGGCACCTACCGGCCGGACAAGTCGATCCTGCCCATCTTCGCGGCGTATCTGCGCCAGAATTTTCCGGGGCTGAACATTCGCACCATGGCCGTCGGGACGAGGAGGAGGCTCGCGCGCCTCAAGAAGAGCCAGGCTGACGTGAAGCACAACCGGCCCGGCGGCGTCAGGATTGTGCGCATGCGGAGTCCCAGCTCAAGCGGGAGTTCGTTTAGTTCGTGATGGTACGAGGATGAATATCGTCGTGAGATACTGTGCGATCGTGGGATTGGATCATGTTGTGCAAGACTGCGATGAGTTTTGGAGGCCACTTTGTTTACCTCTTTTCCCGAGTTTGCGTATGATACCTCCGATGATGAACCTAAGCTATAGTCCATTTCGTTAGAACCTGCCCAGATCGTGAGACAACGAATGAATACCTCGTTCGCGGTCTGCTGAAATACTGCTGACGCTCCCTCCCGTGTGCCTCTCCCCCCTGCGTGCCTCGTCAACCGACGACCTGGGGCCTCAACGAAAAGGCACGAAACGAATTGCAACACCAACCGGCCTCCGGACCTCAACTCGATCTGAATACCAGAAAGCAGCGCAGCTGAACATCTCCAAGCGATCTGCGGTGGTCTCACACAGCCGCCCGGCTCAGATCGACGTCATGGCGAACACCCTGCATCGGGCCAAGACATGTCAGTTCGCTTGGCGGCGTGCCAAGAGATCCTCCAAGCCTGCGGCTCAACCTATGCCCGCCCCTCCTGGGCTCGATGCGGCTCACTTGGAACGTCAGGAATGCTTAAACATACAATGATTGAAGATTGATCCGTCTGATGTCAAGATTTGCTGGCTTCCCCATCGTCTTTGCTGCTTTCTCAAAGGCCTCTAGCAGCTGACGTACACCGCCTTGGGCCTGAGAAGCATACGAACTTCTGAGACGGTCGGCCGGCCGGTCTAGTACAGAGGCCCTCCTCCCTCACTGGTTCCTCACGCAAAGGAAGCGTTAGTCGTGGTCCCTGGTTTCTTCGCTTGACTTGGATGCACCTCGTCTTCGGTCATCAGGCGACAATTCTTCCGACGACAAAGACGACGATGAAACGAATAATTTCCACGGCAATTGGATACAAAGCTGCAGGCAAATGTTGTGTCGCTGGCGCAAAAGATGCGACAGCGCAGCCATATCTTTTGCTGACGGGCGCATGAGAAGAGCCCTTCACAGCCTTTGCAGCCCATGCCGCAGATAGATTGCTCATTTCAGCTTGCAGTGCATCTGGCCACTCTACAGCCCACGCGATACCACCTCCAGTCCAGGCAGGGCCCCTCCCCTGCAGCCAGCAGGTAACAAGGCCAAAAAGGCAAAAGACAAAAAACAAGCATATCTCGGGGCCGCCCCCCGCACCACCACCAAGCGGCGATCTAGCCCCGGGGATCAGTTCCCCAAATGACCCCCAGGGAGATACATCGGGATACCCCCCCTCGCCTAGGCACTCCCAGGGAACAATTTCCCATGAATGGAAAGCCGTGATGTGGGTCATCTAGATCAGCCCTGGCGCTGCAGCTCTCTCCCCACACCAGCCCGCACGTTGCGAAGGCGGCGCGTGGCGAGCCATGACGGATTTCCATCAATGATCGTGCTTGGCGTGGAGAAGGATCGGTTCCCCTGAACGGCTATCCGGCACAGCTAAATGCACAGCAATGCCCCGGGGCCGCCGCCGCCGCCGAGGCAGGGTTCCTCTTTCGACGAGCTCTTGTTTTGCTCTTGCTTTGGGAGACGAGGCTGCCATCTCGAGCGGGCTTGCCCATTCTCACGCCCCCATCCTGCGGTGCCGAGTTCCGTGTGGGAGACTGCGAGAGGCAAGCCTGATGGCCTAGTCTTCTCCGACCAGGCGTCATCCGTGAGGGGAATCTGGGGCCGCTGGCGGGGGACCATGGCGGAGACGAGCCCAGGGGAAATAAGCACCCGAGGCAGGAGGAGAAATCAAACCCCGAAACGCGGCGCGCGGAGGGGGTTCCTCGTGCCTGAGATCAGAGAGGTGGAGGCACCCCA